GTAGTGGACGTAGACTTTATTTGAGAAAGTCGAACCACTGTAAATCGCTGTGCAATTACTTTCAATTTTCTGCAAAAGCTTCCACAAAAATTTTAATTGCCAATTCACCCCCTCTTGGCCGATTTCGTCAATCGATTAACTCAACATCATCATCAAGTCACATGTTCACATCTTCATCCAAAGAATAGGATGAATCCAAGGAATTAGTAGTTACCTACTTTGCCCTTGCAAAAATCCTTAATTATAAACTTGTCATTTTTCATCCGACGAGTTAGATTTAGCATGAAAAATCAACTTAAATTTAATGGTCCATATTAAACCCCTAACATTTTAACTCATTGAAATGACATATTTACCCTTTCCCTATCATCTAACAAAATATCTTAAATTTTTGATTCGATCCGATTATCCAATTTTTTCTTGAACTTTAACATATAATAACTTTTATCATAAAAATTGTATAAAAAATCTGAGCAACACCAAACTTTTACAAGATAAAAATATATATTTTAGGAAATTATTATTTTGGTGTTTGAACTTTTTCTAAATTTATACTTTAACCACTAAACTTTTTCATTTATGCAATTTGGTTACTAACCGAAATTTTTAGACATTAAAATAATTAATGAAAATTTTAAGTTATTTGAGTTGTATTTTACAACACAATTTGAATTTGAATTTTTTTTCGAGTCATATTGAGTTTATGAAATTACAACTTGAAGTTAATTCGAGTCTAGTATTTTTCAAGTAAATTTAAAAAAAATTAATTTTTCGAGTTAAGTCGAATTTTACTCACCTATTTGTGTAATAAAAAAAATCACACTGAATTACCTAAATATTTGATTTTAACATAATAGAAGGATCACAACCATAATTACACCTCACTATTTCTTTCTTTCACCCTGAAATCAGAATTAGATTATATTGTCAAATTTTTGCACATTTGTACGAAAATAACAAAGCAAACAGGTGAAAGGGAAGAACTGGGTTTAAGTAATTGGTTCATCAAAATTAATCAACTTATGTGAAGGGAAATCAGATTTGCTATCTTGGTAAGATTTACATCTCCGTTGAAATCAATGAAAAATTTCTGATTTAGCTGCTGTTTAATCGTTTATTTTTGTACGATTCTCTCTCTAGACTTCGAGTAGTTTTTTTTATATGTCGTTAACGCATAGCTGTAATCTCTGTCTTCTCTGCGATTCCATAGAAAATCAAGTGAATTGAGAATGCTGCAGCATCAAATCGTTCAATCCCCGGCTAGATTAGGGTTAACAAACCCTAATTCGCCTTCTCTTCAAAACTCTACCCCACCCAAATACCCTTCTTCTCAACCCCATTCCCAATCCCAGCAACAAACACCCAACCCCAATGTTTCCGCCGCAACTACCTCTTCAACCCTCCTTTCGCTTCTCCCTCCACTCCCCAGAGCTCAATCCCTTCTTCTCCAAATGGCTTCTTTAGCTTCCAAGCTCTTTGAAGTTTCCCCGAATCGGGCCCTTTGGGTTCCGGCTTTTCGAGGGTCTCTCCCTTCTTTTCTATCTTCACAAATACAATCAATGCCGCCGCCTCCACTTGAATCCACCCCTATTTCCTCTAAAGAAGTCATCTCGTTGTTCGCTTCCCTCCAAACGCAACTCTTCGAAGCTGTCGGCCAGCTCCAAGAAATCTTAGATCTTCAAGATGCAAAACAGAAGATTGCGAGGGAAATCAGGTTTAAAGATGGTTCTGTGCTTGCTTTTGCCAATAAACTTAAAGAGGCGGAGAGGGTTCTTGATAATCTTGTCGATGATTATTCTAGTTATAGGAAGACAAAGAGGTTGAAATTGGAGGATAATAGTGTGGAGGAAGATGATGATGATTCTTTTACCACTACAGTTGCATCTCAGTTGAATTTGTCCGATATTTTGTCCTATGCACATCGGATTAGTTACACTACTTTTGCACCTCCTGAATTTGGTGCCGGACAGGCACCCCTTCGTGGGGCACTCCCCCCTGCTCCACAGGAGGAGCAGATGCGTGCTTCTCAGCTGTATGCTTTTGCTGATCTCGATGTTGGTTTACCTAAAACAGTTGAGACTAAGGAGAAAGCTGTTGAGGCGATCATCGAGCCACCGCCTGTGCAGCCTTCAGATACCAATCCACTTGCCAATTTGGCAGCCCTTCAGGGATTGCTTCCTCCAAATTTACAGTTCCATCAGGCTGGAAACCCGGAATGCCAGTGGAGTTGCCAACCGACTTGCCAGTGCCACCACCAGGATGGAAGCCCGGGGATCCAGTGCCACTGCCTCCGTTGGAGTCCTTGCCTACACCTAGGATGGAAGGGCAAAACATTCGGCCTGTTCCACCTCCATGGTTGCATAGGCAGCCCGAGCCAATTCAGTGCGACATGTTGAGCTCGATATTCTTGATCCAGATGATAGCAGTGATTATAGTAGTGATGATGGAAGCTCTGATGATGAAGATTGATAAACTGATAGTCTGACATACTTGAAGTAAGTGTACTCCTAACTCTTACGATTACGAACAAAATTGACTTTTGAGTTTTCAATCATTACCTCTATGTTATTTTTTCTTGTCATTGTAACTGAATTGGATATGGCTCTGTTTTACACTAACATTTGCTATCTTGGTAAAGAAAATAGATGACCATAGAGCTGAAAAGCAATTATTTGAAGCATCATTCTTCATTAGGAATTGATTTGCCTCTAGAAGAATGAATAAATGGTATTTGTAGAACTGCAAGAATCGTCGCTCTATTGTTCCTATGAAATGTGAATAAAGAGGTATAAATCTGTAAAAGTTTCCATAACTTGGTATTCACTTACATAATGGAGATGAAACTTCGTGCAAGTTAAAATTATATGGGGATGGTTTGCACATGATTGTAAGATGATTTTCCACTAAATTAGGGTATTTTTTTTGTGGAATGATTACATATTAGTTTGGCATCGTGATTAGGGTTGTAAATGAGACGAGACAAATCGTGAGCGATTCAAGATCGACTCAGGCAAAACTCGATAAATGCTTGATTCGAATAGAACTCGAGCTTGACTCGAGTTGTTAATGAGCCGAAATGGGCTACTTGATACTCGACTCGAAAAACTCGCAAACAACTACAAAATTTAATATATTAATATTTTATTAAAAAAAACAAAATATTAATAATATTAAGATTTATGTGTTGATTCTTTTTATAAAAAATGTATAAGATTTTTATGTATTTAAGGTTTATGTTTGAGTTTGAGGTTTAAGTTGAGTTAAATTTAAGATATTTTTGTTCATTTCGAGCTTTTACGAGCTTCGGTTCATGGTTTGAGTTCAAGTTGAACTTGAAAATTTTAAGCACGCTAATTTTCAAGTAAAGTTTTATTTCAGAGTTTTCGAGTTGAGTTGAGTTCATCAATATTTGAGTTCGACTCGATTACATCTTTCGTTAGTCTTAATCTACTACTCTATTCATTGAGTATATTTTTAATTGAATAATCTACTACTCTATTCATTGAGTATATTTTTAATTGAATAAACCTTTCAATAGTAACAAAAAAACAGAAATTATCCTTTGATTTTCTACATCAAATACATTCTCATTGATATTTAATGCAATGAAATATATTTCAATGGTTGATGTTCATCTATGCAAGAACGATTATACACAACTAGACGATAATTAGAAGAAAGAATGCTTTAATATGATTGAAACCGTTAATGTTTGCCTCTAGATTTCTTTGATGGCTCTAACAAGATGATGTTGTGATTGCATGCATCTATATTTTCTAATGTTATTACTTGTATTAAAAGCACCACCGAATTTCAAATTGAACGTCTGGTTTGTTTCTACGCGTAATTACCGGTCGAGAAAATTGCATCACCCAAAGAGTCACAACCCTAAATATATAGAGTGAGTAATACTCAGTTGGTAGAGCACAAGGTTCTTAATCTTGGGGTCGTGGGATCGAGTCTCACGGAGGGCATTTCATAATTCGGAGGTCTCCTACGGAAGCTACTCTCAACCTGGTGTTGGGGACAGCCTACTACCTTACCTCCCCCTTACCCCATTAAATATGGGAATAAGTATCAGCTAATTTTTTATAATCATTTATATTTTATATCCAAGTTGTGTTCATTTCAGTCTTGGCATGCTTGATAAGATATGATTTGAAGATTATAACGTAAGGTTTATGATGATGACTTCATGTATGATAGCATAGCATGTCATATTTTGCTCCCATGTTTAGTAATTGATAAGGTATGAAACTTAAAAGAAAATGGTAACGAGCAAAATGATAGTTGGAGACTCTATTATAATTGAAGGATCATTTGTGCACTTTATCCAATAAAAAAAACTCACGTTAAACAAACATTATAGTTGGATATTAAAAGTGAAGGAAAAATATATGATCATCATATTTTATCCTCCTTACAAAATAATTAATTTAATTTGAAAAAAAAAGAAAGAGTGTGAATGAATTCAAAACACATATTTTTTAAAACATAGTTTTATTTACTCTCATTTTTTTTAGTTCTAACAATCAATAAATAGAATACAACTTTTATTTTCTAAAAATTTTTTATCATTCGTATCAAATATACCAATAAAAAAAATTTATATTTATATTTTTCTATCTTTTATTTTTTCCCCCATCATTTTAATTCACTTTTTACTGTATTAAGTAAAACTTGTATGATGGCCGGTACCCTTAGAAATAAGAAAAGAAATGTAGGATTGTATGGCAAGCTGGGGGTTGATAATTTAGCCGTTGCTCTGTCTCATGTGGTTCACAAACAAACAAGTATGCCCATCCCCACCTGAATCATTTATGTGTCAAAGTTGTACTAATTAACTCTGTTCTTGTCAATATCTAGATATATAATGTTTTGTAAAAAAAAAAAAAAGTTTGAAAACTCAACGGCATTTTTCGTAAATCAAGAGGTTGAACATAAAAGCACAATTCAGTTGGGAGTCCTGTTTTTTTTTTTTTTATTCTCTAAGCCACTGGTTATCTATCTCCAAACCCCCAAAAAAAGATGAAAAGAATGAACATTTTGTGCGCATCCCAAGCTTCAACAGCGGTGCGTTCAAGCAGGGACCAAGCCTCGGCATCCGCCCTTCAACTCGGCGGCCAAACACCCAACGCGAGAGACTCCAAAAGGTTCACCACAACCCTACCTTCAAACCTCTGTACCTCTCAGCCATCGCCAATCAATCCTCTGCCTTACCATCAGCTGAAGAACAACGAGAAAAAGTCTTCTAATCATGCAGTTTCGCCCAACTCTAATGATCTCATCAAGAAGAAGAACGCTTCTTTGGAGCCAATGGATGTAATTACAAGGAGAAGCACTTGTTCTGCAGAACAAGATCAACCCATTGCTTCAAAACTCTCTTCCTCTCAACACCAGGTTTCCCTACTCATTCACTAGTGTTATTGAAGTATCAAATTTGCAGTTAAATTTTCAATAAATTTGGTCTCAGGTAGTGGTTCTAAAGGTGTCATTGCACTGCAAAGGTTGTGAGGGAAAAGTGAGGAAACATTTGTCAAGAATGGAAGGTATGTATGTATGTATGTATATATGCTTCACAGTCACTTGCTCATCTCCATCAAACCAAAATGAAAACACCAGTTTCGTGTATTTTGAATAGGTGTGACATCCTTCAGTATCGACTCTGCAGCAAAGAAGGTAACAATTGTTGGAGATGTGACACCATTACAAGTGTTGGCCAGTGTTTCCAAGGTTAAGACTGCGCAATTTTGGACATCGGCTGTTGCCTCAACCAATCAAATGATGACAAATTAGCATCGTCAATTACTAGTTTGAACAAGAAATCTAAGCAAATTAGATTACTTTTGATCCTGAAATGGTAATTTAGTTTGTACATGGAACTTGGTATTGTTACCTGAACTCAGATTTTCTTTCCAATATATATTTATTCATATTTTACAATTATATTCATAGAATATAACCCCGGATCTCATATCGCCGCTCAAGTTATTCCCCGGCACCCATGTCTGGTTTCTTGTTTTACATTTACCAGAGATTTGTGCAGGCTATCTTTGAGTTCTCCTATGTTCCACTTTGGGATAATTTTTCTTGCTTTTTTATCCATGGGTATTGGTGCATCAATTGCAGATAGATTTCCAGTAGCTTTGAATTGAGCCTGTCAAACATCAGCCTCCTTTCAGTCCTTGACCAAGAGTTTAGATTATTATATTTTTATCGATTTCTTCAAATATTATCATATTCACAGGACATTCTGGAGAATGCCATATGGCTGAGAAGGTATCAAGGTCAGCTCCATTGATTCCTTTTGGCCATTGCTATCCGTTTTCCCTTGCGTACCGAACAGATACTTGATCACCATCATCATCACTTGAAAGAAGCATTGCTCCCTCTTCATATGCCCCGGTTTCTAGTGTTAATACTTGAAGTTGCATTCAAAGGCCTAAAAATATAAACATAACTAAAAGATTAAACAGAACAGATAGAATCACAATCAATGAGAAATAAAAAATGGAATGTTTCATGCAGCATATTCGATGAACATTTCATAAGTCATACATTATAACATAGCTGTAAACAATAAAGATCTAAAAATTTTAAAACGACCATCTGTTTTAATCCAAATGGATGCTAATCCAAATGAATGCTAAAAGATAAAACTAATGAAGCTAAAACAGCCAATAAATTATCATGGAGGTCAGTACCAATACTGTCAAAGCATTCAGAACCAGTTGATAAATCATCAGCTAAAGAAGCTTCTATAACTGAAATTGGACTTGGTTGTTCTCCCTCCTTAGAGCCTAGTAGAGATCCCAGTTCCGATGTGGATGCCTTTATTAGAAAGCAATATCAGAGAAGGAAGGCAATAAATATAGAGGGTGGCAAATTAGAGTTTTATTTGTTTCCTCTATTACATTAGATTTTTATTTCCTTTGTAACTTTAGTCTTGCTAGTCAAGATCCTGTATGTTAGGGAACTTTATTTTATGTCCATTAGGACTATTTCCTTTGTCACTAAAGGTATATTAAAGGCTATCAATACTGAATAAAGAAGACAAGCAATTACTCTATTATAAACGTTATTCGTAGAGGGTTTCAATCAGGGACAAATCTACCTCTCTGATTAACCATTGGTCAGAGGAGAAAATCTTTCACGTCTAGACCTTTGACTAGATCCTATGCCAAGGTTCATAGTATGTTTGTAGCTAGGAACAAGAAAATGATGCTTAATCGAACAAGGGGGTGAATCAAAGATTGAATGTTGGATCCACTAATATTAAGATGAACAGCATGGAAAAAACTAACCTCAAACCAAACAATCAAATCAGACTGGGAGAAAATGTATGTGTACATATGTATGTATTTGTACATATATGTATGCTTGTAGTTGGGAACGAGCAAATGAAAGCTTAATTCAATAAGGTGGGTGAATCGAAGTATGACTACCGAATCCACTAACATAACATGCACATTAAGGAAATAGCAAAAATTTCATTTTCAACACGAGTTAGTTTCACTGGATTTTTGTTGATCCTTTCCTTTCACAGCAAGATTTTCTTCACTGATTGAAACTCTAATGGAGAAGAGCCTCTTTAAACTAGTGCTAGTATCTTCATTTGTTTAATACATTGTTGAGGACAGGTTTGCTGTAATATTTCTTCTTCAAGCCTGCTTACAGGGATATCGAAATTGTCTTAACATTAGCAGCAACACTGAATTTGAAACAACCAAAGGTTCGAATAAATCGGTACTTGATCTCATATTCCGTTGAATCTCTTAAATCTAATTCACCCCATTGGTCATTCTCAATATAAGTTCTTTTTTTAATGAAGATTCACAGGAAAAGAAGCTGTTGCCTGTATCAATAAGGGAAGTCCAATGCCATTCTTCTTTTTATACCAACAAGATGTTAAACTCCATTAAAATGCTGGCAAATTCACCGTCCAGTGAATGTAGGATACAAATACTAAAGGCTCTATAGATTTCATCTATTTGGCAGTGTTTGCAATCCTTATTCAGGAAAACATGAACTTTGTTTCTTATTTCGATCCAACTGCACCCTGGAATTCTTTTCATCTATTTCTCTTTTATCTCTCTTCTCACCATTGATGCAATTTCCCATCTGCCAGCGGCAGCGTATGCATTGGACAGCATTATATATGAGTAACATCCTAGGGTCCAATGCCATGATTTTCCTTGCTGCAAATTCGCCGAGTTCCCTATTTGAGTGAATTTGGCAGCCTCCAAGCAGGGCTTTCCAAAAACCAATACCTGGTTCAAAAGGCAATTGGTGAATAAACTCCTCAGCTTCCTTGAACCGCCCAGATCGAGCGAGCATATCCACCATACAAGCATGATGCTCTGATTTAAGCAAGTTGGATTCCTTAAGCCTTACCTTGTTGAAATATGAATAACCCTCAGTAACACGACCATCATGATTACAAGCCCATAATAAACCAAGAATTGTAACATCAGTAGGCCTAAAGCCACTTACTATCATCCTTTCGAATAATTCAATGGCTTCATTCCCTCTTCCGTTCTGTGGATAACCACATATCAAAACATTCCAAGAAACAACATTTCTTCCATGAAGTTTATCGAAAACCAAGAGACTGTCATCCATACTTCCACATTTGGCATAAAAACTAGTAAGAGCATTGCCTATAAACACATTAAGTTGATCTCCCAAAGCTTAAAAGCATAAGCATGAAAACTTTTCCCTTCCCGAGGGCAGCTATATTAGCTGCTGCACATTATAATTGCATTAACAAAAAATTGTACAAATCAAACATATTGTACCGATATGCTCTACTAGAGTATCGGTACACATATTTGAAAAACAAATAGTGTATAATTATGGGATCGATAACAATCAATATTGATACTCGATGCCCAGGTACCGATACACATGAGCCAATGTACAAATACGACCTCCGTGATTCAAATTGGGTATTCAGAATTGGATTTCAAAAATATAGTTCGAATGTATAAACTAGAGTTTAATTGTTCTAATTGGGGTTTTAATTTGGAAATTATGGTACTCAATTTGAGAATTAGGGTTCTATAATTGGATAGGAAATTATATTTAGGGTTAGGATTTATGAAATATGGGATTAGGAAAAGATGATGAGATGGCGGCAGCCCCACAACGGCATCCACAGCTACTGTCGGTGAAGGTGACAGTCGGTGAGGCCTCATCCGCCGATGACGGCTTGGACGGACAACCAAGTCCAAAACAAAATAAAATTAATCAAGCTTACCTTAACGGATTGGTGGTGCAAACATCAGTGAACGGTGTCCACATCGAGAGGGATGAACAACAAAGACTTAATTACCGGTGAAAGATGATAACAAAGACGGCAGCGACGGTGACAGCAAGAGCTTCAAAGCTTTTAAAAAATTAGGGTTTTTTAATTTAAGGGGTTACTATTTGATCTAATTATAATAAAAAAATAAGATTATAAAATATAATGTAATAATATTGTCTTTTAAATAAAGTACATTTAGATTTTCAACTAATTTATAGTTATACGTTAAGTACTTTATAATTGTAATGTTTTATAAATTAATTTAATGGTGCTCATCATTAGTTGTGCTCGTCGAGCGTTGTAGAAATTTCCTTATAATTTAAGATAAATGTCAAGATTCAAATCCATATAAATGAGATAATATAAATATCTTTAATTATTCGATCAATTAATGAATGTCTATTTAATTTACTTTTCAGAAAGTACTTTTTCATTATTGATATAAGTTTTTAGTTAATTTTGTTTAAGAGAAAATATAATAAATTTATAATTTTAATAAAATAAGACTATACAAAGAAATTATAAAAAGCCGACCAAACAATTTAAAAAATAGAAGATAAGAACAGACATCACTATAAGCAATGAAAGGTAAATAATATCTACACTATTATAAAAAGGAATAATGATAAATGATTATGACATTTTAACAAATGATTTTATCACAACTCAAGTATAATATATCTAAATAATTACTAAAATATATGAATATGAGATAACTAATCAATAATTCAATATAAATCAGCATAAAGTGTCACCCCCAATTTATAATTTAATTATTTTTATTTAATTAATTATTGTATTTAGGGATAAAAATGTATAGTTTTAAACTTTGAGGGTTAATTTGTAAGTTTTCAGTCAATCTAAGCCTTGAACCCGAATCTATCCAACCCATGTTAGCCAAGAAAAAAATTAATAGGTGATTGAGAGGGGTTGAACCCATGACATGCTAGCATAAAAAGGAATAATGATGAATGATTATGACAAGTTAATAGCAGATCTTATCACAACTCAAGTATAATATATCTGAATAATTACTAATATATATCAATATAAGAGAATCAATCGATAATTCAAATCAAATATAAATCAGCATAATGTGTCACAACCCTCCAATTTCTAATTTAATTATTTTTATTAATTAATTATTTTATTTAAGGATCAAGATGTATAGTTTTAAACTTTGATGGTTAATTTGTAAATTTTCAGTTAATTCAGGCCCTTGAACCTAAATTTATCCAATCCATGTCATCCAAGAAAAAATTTAATAAGTGGTTAAGAGGGTTGAACTAATGCCATGCACCAAGTAAGTGAGCCCATACCTCTTCCATCTAAGGCTAAGTTCCTATATGAACTTTAAAATAATAAAAATATATTTAATATTAAACTTGAATCGGATTTATAACACCAAGCTATTTCCCTCCTTCTGAATCAACCAATTCTCATAAACCTTTAAACGCCTTTGTTGTCTCTCACCACCGTTCAATCACAA